TATGTAAAATGCTTAACCCTAACACATTTGTTGCCTCTTAATCCAGTAAGCTTAAGGTGGTTATTTGTGGTGAAAACTGGCAACACATCATTACTTCACAAGATCTAAGGGAGCGGTGGTAATGGATAATAGTGATGAAATCGAGTTGGTCAGTGTCAATCCGCAGGGTCAGTCAGTTGAGCAAGAGTCGGAGGAAATAAGAAAATTGAGACAACAACTGTCAGATGTATATCAAGCTTGGGTTTCCGGTCGACCTCCACCCCAGGGTCCTTCAGAGGGAACTTCCACCATACCCCAGGCTACTCAAACACCGCCCCATGCTACGAGCGATCCCATTCTACCACCAGGGTATGTGCCAAACTACAGCCTCCATGCTGCCCCCGGTACCTCTAATATGCGACCTCCAGTCGCACCGGTTAGGAACACCCCTCTCGTCGTGTCTGGCGCACCGGTATATACAATCCCGCCGCCACCACCTGTGACGAGGCCAAACAATGATCCACCATCTCATGCTTATGATGGCCAATACTATTCTCCAAATATGGCTTTTGGGGTCTCGGCTCCATACAATCAGACTCCTCGGTACGAATCACCAGTGGAAAATGAAAAGCCTGCCACGACTGTTGAGCCAGATGAGATGGCCAGGAAAATGAAAAGTCTTGAACAGAATATAAAGAATATACAGGGACTAGGTGGTCACAAAAGTGTTTCATTCAGTGATCTATGCATGTTCCCTCACATCCATTTGCCACGAGGGTTCAAGACCCCAAAATTTGAGAAATATGATGGACACGGCGACCCTATCGCCCACTTGAAAAGGTATTGCAACCAGCTGAGGGGTGCAGGAGGAAAGGAAGAGCTGCTGATGGCTTACTTTGGGGAAAGCCTTGTGGGGGTAGCTTCCGAATGGTTCATTGACCAAGACATCTCTCATTGGCATGTTTGGGATGACATGGCCCAGGCTTTCGTCAAACAATTTCAGTACAACATTGATATTGCGCCGGATCGTAATTCCTTGTCCAATATGAAGAAAAAGCCGACCGAAAGTTTTAGGGAGTATGCCATCAAGTGGAGGGAGCAAGCGGCTAGAGTTAAGCCACCCATGGATAACCACGAGTTGATCACTGTTTTTCTGGAGGCTCAAGAGCCTGATTACTTTCAGAACATGATGTCCGCGATGGGTAGACCTTTTGCAGAAGCAATCAAAATAGGGGAGATGGTCGAAAATGGCCTCAAGACTGGCAGAATTGTAAGTCAAGCTGCTCTCAAAGCCACCACCCAAGCTATCCAAAATGGGTCGGGAGGTTTGGCAAATAGAAAGAAGAGAGATGAAGGGTCCATGATGGCTTCGGGATCTAGGGAGTTTCAAAGAGGGGCATCGCACCCTTATGTGCAAGTTCAGCAGGGGCAATCCAGCTACCCTCAACATTATTATCCCCCGCCAATTCCTCAATACTCTATGGGCCCACCACAATATACAGTGTTCAATGCTCAATCATATGCTCGGCCTCCCAATCAGCAGGTACGGGCACCAGCTCCAAGGGCCCCCCGACCTCAGCAGCAAAATTTTCGGGCACCCTACAATGCTCGTCCCAGGCAGGATTATGGTCGAGAGCAGAGGCCGGCAGAAAAATTCACTCCATTGGCTGAATCATATTCTAGTCTATTCCAGAAGCTGAAGCAAATGGGCGTAATTGGACCCATCGCTCCCCACCATATGCATCCCGATTCGCATGGATTTCAAGCAAATGCTAGATGTGAATATCATTCCGGTGCCCCAGGGCATAGCACTAATGACTGTTGGACTCTGAAAAGAGCCATAGAGAGACTCATTTCTGAAAAACTGATTGTAGTGACGAATGGCGAGGACCCTCCTAACGTGACAAACAACCCGTTGCCAGCACACAATGATGTTCATTTTGTGGGAATGATTGGCCGAGACCAAGAATACAAGCTGGTCGGTCGAGCAGAAATGACAGTGGGTGCAATTCAAGAAGGAGCAGGTCTGGAAGTAAGTCCCAGCCGAGATGTGCCATTGATTGTGAAAGGCGCCCAGAGCTCAAATAAGGCAACTTTATTTGTTCCAAAGATCTCGAGGTTGGAAGTTCACTCCAGTGTTCCAAGCCCAAGGTTATATGTACTTGGAGGCCACCCCGTCAAAAGGGAGAAGCAGGGAGGTACGAAAGGTATAACAGAGCCGATCGTAATCAAACCTGCCATGCAACCCCCTGTAACCAACACAAAAACCACTCCTTGGAACTACAACAAAACTGTGATGACCTACAAAGGCAAGGAAATCATAGAGGAAGTGGGGGAAACTGGAGGTTTGACTCGATCAGGGAGATGTTACTCTCCAGAAGAGTTGAGGAAGGCCAAGCAAATTAGAGAAGGCCATTTACCAATAAAGAAGCCAGTCACTGAAGCAGATGCGGAATAGTTTTTGAAAAAGATGAAAGTTCAGGATTACTCAATCATTGACCAGCTAAGAAAGACTCCCGCTCAGATCTCTCTACTATCTCTGCTCCTACATTCCAAAGAGCATGCCCGTGTACTAATCAAGGTCCTGAATGAGGCACATATCTCAGAGGAGACCACAGTGAATCAGTTAGAGAAGATGGCCAATAGATTTTTCGAGGTGAACAGAATCTCCTTTACTGATGGTGAACTTCCCTAGGAGGGAGCCGGGCACAATAGGGCTTTGAACTTGATGGTCAAATGTGAGGGTCATTATGTAAAGCGAGTCATGGTTGGTGGAGGCTCAAGTGTAGATGTATGCCCTCTCTCTACCTTGCAAAGCATGAAGATCGATACAGACAGAATCCGACCCAGCAATGTTTGCATCCGGGCTTTTGATGGCTCAGTAAGAGATACCATTGGGGAGATCAACCTCACCATGACGATTGGGCCAGTTGACTTTGAGATTGTCTTCCAAGTAGTGGACATGGCCACTTCTTATAACTTTCTTCTTGGAAGGCCATGGATCCATACGGCCCGAGCTGTGCCATCCACCTTGCATCAGATGCTCAAATTCGAACATGACAGGCAAGAAATTACTGTTCACGGAGAAGACGAGTCTTCCATTTATAAAGACCCGTTAATCCCTTGTATTGAGGACAAGGAAGGGTCTGAGTCCATTGTCTATCAGGCTTTTGAAGTGGTTGCTGTGGACCATGTCGAGGAAGGAAAGCCCATTCTGCATCCTCGTCTTTCTGCCACATCTATAATGGTGGCTGCAGTTATGATGAGACAAGGTTATGAGCCAGGAAAAGGTTTGGGGGCATCATTTCAAGGAATTTCGGAGCCCATTTCTCCGTTCGGTAACCAGGGTACTTTTGGATTGCACTTCAGGCCAACACAAGCAGACGAAAACAAAGCCAAACACCGCAAAAAGCATGGATGGGTCTTGCAACAGCCTATCCCTCATATTTTCTACACTTTTGTCAAGCCACAACTCCGAGAGGGTCAAAATTCCTCGGCGCATGCAAACATTGATGAAATTTGCCATGGCCTCAACGAGATGTTTTCTGAAGTGAATATGATCCAGGCTGGTGAAGGCACTAGTCGTGCCGATATGCAACTAATTGACCCAGACACCATGCTCACCAGCTGGGAAGCAACTCCTCTCCCCACAAGGAAGGAGTCTTGGTAGTTTGCTTTTGCAGCTTCTTTTTGTATTTTGGGTTACTTTCAGGGTTGTAATCCAAACATCTCAGTATGATTGTTTGGTTTTGATATTAACCCTTCTATCCTTTCGAATTCAATGAAATGCAGTTCAGTTTCCTATTAAGTTTTCTATCTTTTCCTTCTCCTAATTCCTGTCATTTTATATCCATTTCAGTTTTGTTAATGTCGGCTTTAATATCATGACATGCATGCGGAATTCACGCCCAGATCTTAAAAAGCTGTCTAATATCGAAATAATGCATCAAGAGGTTGAATATGATGAAGATAAGGTTGTTGAGGAAATAAAAAGAGAGTTGGAACAATTCGAAAACAAGCCTAAGCCAAACCTTAATGAAACTGAGCCAATTAATATCGGAAGTCCTTAAGAAGTTAGAGAAACGAAGATAAGCATTCACACTGAACAAAAAACTAGAGATACCTTGATTCAACTTTTATTTTAATACAGTGATGTGTTTGCTTGGTCTTACGATGATATGCCGGGTTTAAGTGCTGATCTGGTGGTTCATAAGCTTCCTACGTATCCTGGTTTTCCACCAGTCCAACAAAAGCAACGGAAATTTAAAACAGACATGAGCGACAAAATCAAAGAGGAAATAATGAAGCAACTGAGCGCCAATGTGGTCAGAGCTGTCCGATACACCACCTGGGTGGCAAATGTTGTGTCTGTGCCAAAGAAGGATGGAAAAACCAGAGTTTGTGTCGACTATAGGGACCTGAACAAAGCAAGTCCAAAGGATAATTTTCCTTTGCCAAATATCCACATTCTTGTAGATAATTGCGCAAAACATGAGATACAATCGTTCGTGGATTGCTATGCTGGGTACCACCAAATTCTAATGGATAAGGATGATGCAGAAAAGACCGCTTTCACCACGCTATGGGGTACTTATTGTTACAGGGTCATGCCGTTCGGTTTAAAGAATGCAGGGGCAACTTACATGAGGGCCATGACCACCATCTAACATGACATGATGCACAAAGAGATTGAAGTATATGTCGATGATGTCATCATAAAATCAAAGACACAAGCTGATCACGTGTGTGATTTGAAAAAGTTCTTCGAACGGTTTCGAAGGTATGACCTTAAGCTTAATCCAGCCAAGTGTGCATTTGGGGTTCCGTCTGGGAAACTCCTCGGTTTTATAGTCAGCCGGAGAGTCATCGAATTGGATCCATCTAAGATAAAGTCCATTCGAGATCTGCCACCCCCGAAGAACAAAAAGGAAGTCATTTTCTTCTGCTTTGCCTTCCCTTCCAATTTCGAACTTTATAATGTGGTTGAAAAAATAGTGATATTTTCATTCCTTTTTAGGTGCGTGAGATGTTCTACCATGCATTTAACGGATATATGGATCATGCTTTTCCACGTGATGAGTTAAGGCCTTTATCTTGTGGAGGAGAAGACACACTTGGTGGCTATGCCTTAACATTGGTAAGAAGACACTTTCTTGCTGGACTGGACAAACTAATTTTCTTGGTAAACATATACTTAATGTTCCTAACATGTGCATTTTCACAGATTGACTCATTGGACACCTTGGCTTTGCTTGGTGACAGAGAGCGGTTTACTTCTTCTGTTGAATGGATTGGTAAAAATCTTCAGTTTGATATTGTGAGTATGGCATTTGTATGAAACTGAATGAATATTGGAGCGAATATTTTACTCTTCAAAAAGTCATTGCCT